TACTGCCTTTGTCTGGTTTTGATATCAGGATAATAGTAAATTCGTTACACTTTTGACGTCTGCAGGGTCTACGGTGACATACAGTTTCATTTCTGATAATGATAGTCTTTTTAAAGAACCAACTCTGTTTTATTGATTATTGTTTTTTGCTTTTATGTTTTTATTTTTTTAAGTATGTTTTTATTGATTTAGAGAGAGAGAGAGAGATTGATGAGCTAGAAACATGGATCAGCTGCCTCCCACACGCCCTCTACTGTGCATGGAGCTCGCAACCGGGCATATGCCCTGACTGGGTATCGAACAGGCAACCTCTCCGTGCATGGAACGATACTCAACCAACTGAGCCACATTAGCCAGGGCCTATGTTTTCATTTTTATTATTTCTGTTCTATTATTTCTGTCTACATGCTTTGGGTTTATTTTGCTCCTTTTCTAGGTGCTTTAGGTAGGAGTTTAGATCTTGGATTTGAGAGGTTTCTTCTTTTCTAATGTATGAATTTAATGCTATAAATTGTTCTCTTGGCACTGATATAGCTCTGTTAACACAAATTTTGATATGTTGTATTTTCAGTTCATTCAGTTCACTGATTTTTTCCCCCCTTGAGACTTCCTCTTTGACCCATGGATTATTTAGAAATTTATTGTTTATTTTCCAGATGTTTGGAAATTTGCCTGTTCTCTTTCTGTTAATTATTTCTAGCTTGATTCATCTGTGGTCAGAGAACACACTTAGAATGATTTAAATTATTTTAAATTTGTTGAGGCTAGTTTTATGACCCAGGATATTGGTTCAGTGGGCACTTGATAAAAATGTGCCTTCTGTGGTATTGGGTGAAATGTTCTATAAGTATGGATTGTATCCTCACTAACTTATAGGATATTAAAAAAAAAAAGAGGAGAAAAGAATAAATGCAAAAGAGTGGAAGATGTATACACGGTTGGAAATACTAGAATGGAATTACCATCAATTATATTCGTTAATCAAATGAGAATGTTATTTTTTTTCCATGATAATAGCACTTTGAGTTTCCTAGTTTCATGAAAACGTCATGCTTTTCAGAGCCACTTCAAATAATAATGAGTCAATAAGAATGACTTATACATCCAGTTTATCTTTTTTGCATTGGTTATTAGGAAATTCAAGCTAAATATAATGCATAAAAATTCATTTAGTCTACAGTGTACAAGATTGTATTTGCTTCTTTCTCTACATGCTGTTTAATTTCTATTTTAAACAATCTTATTTTATACAAATCTTTATGTGAGATGTTCTTCCATTTTAGAACTAGCCAGATAGAATAAATAATGTGATACATTCTTATATCTGGATTAACTAAGCCTGGGCCCTCCATTTAGGATATGTGAAAATCCCAGGAATTCAGAAAGGCTTTTGACTTCCTTATCTTCACTTCTCTGTTGCCCCCAAGTTAGATCATAAGTGTCATATGTTTAGAAGTTTCTGTTACAGTTATTGCCCTTTTTGAATTTCAGACTTCACAACTCCTATAACTTCCTTTTAAAGTATATTAGAACTCATTTGGGTTATTGATTTATAAGTTAGGATAGTGTTTGTTAACAATTAATAGTACTCTGCATTTGCACAGAGAAGGTAAAAGGATCATTAGTAGCACAGGTCAAAGTTACATTAGCAACCAATGGAATAGTTAACTTAAGTACTTATAGAAGACAACAGAGATCTCTTGGTTTCCCTTAGAATCCTACTAAGGCCCTAGCTGGTTTGGCTCAGTGGATAGAGTGTCGGCCTTCGGACCAAAGGGTTTGCTCAGTGGATAGAGTGTCGGCCTTCAGACCAAAGGGTTTCGGGTTCGATTCCGGTCAAGGGCACGTGCCTTGGTTGCAGGCTCCTCCCCAGCCTGAGCCCTCATCAGGGCTGGTGCAGGAAGCAACCAATGTTTTTCTGTTTCTCTCACATCGATGTTTCTCTCTGTCTTTCCCTCTTCCACTCTCCCTAAAAATCAACGGAAAAATATCCTCAGGTGAGGATTAAATTTTCAGATTCCTTTAAAAAAAAATCCTACTAGGAATGGAACTTTAATAAGTAGCTTTTCTGCACAGTAGCAGGGCAATTCATCTTAAAACTGGAGATTTAGCCACTCAGTGATTAGAGTGTGTAGGCCCTTGGACAGAGGGTCTCAGGTTCGATTCCCACTCAAGGACACTTACCTGGGTTGCAGATTTCTATCCCAGCCTGTGCGGGAGGAGACCAATCAATGTGTTTCTCTCTCACATTGATCTCTCTCTCTCTTTTTTTCTCTCTCTTAAAATCAATGGAAAAAATATCCTCAGGCGAGTATTAACAACAACAACAAAAAAGTAACCCACTAAAGATTTAGATAGACAGGGTCTTTGGGTCCCACAGGTAATAGCATTAAAAAATCTAATTCTAAACTTTATGGTTCTGGTGTCATTAATGATGTGGGAAATTGGGGGAGTGGTGTATAATTACATGCATGGTTAGAAATTGATAAAATGTGAATAATGTGGTATTTCAGGTAGACTTGTTTCAGTTCTATTTCATAAACTATTCTTGTTTTGATTACCTAACTCTTCAAGTAGCCTAAAAACATTTATTTGTAGCCCATGTGGCTCAGTTGGTTGAGCATTGTCTCATGTACCAAAAATTCACTGGTTCGATTCCCAAACAGGGCTTATACCCAGGTTTTGGGCTCGGTCCCCAGTAGGGAGTATACAGGAAGCAGATGATCAAGCGATGTTTCTCACACCAATGTTTCTTTCTCCCTCTCCCTCTCTCTCTAAAATCAATAAAAAAACATTTTTTAAAATAAAATATTTGTTTATAGGTTGACAAACGTTTTTTATTTTTAAATCAGGTGACTAATAAAGGTACCGAAAGAATATGGCTGCACAAATTCCAGAATCTGATCAGATAAAACAGGTAAGGTATTATAATTAAGAAAAAGGCATTTGGCAAACAATTTAAGGCACTGTTGAATGCAACCATGTCAGTGATCTCACAAAATAATGGTTTATATTTCATTTCCAAAATGGGATATTAAACGGAGAATATTAATTTTCAGGTAATCCAGGAAAGAATATTCAATCAGAAAATCTGACTATATTTTGTAGCTCATATTACATAGATCATAGTATACCCATTTAAGTTAGCAAAAGTTTGATTTCAAATATTACAGGACATTTCACCTAAGATACAAACTTCAGTTAAGTTTCAGAACATTTTTGTTTTAAAAGCCAAATATTAAACAGTGAACTTATATACCTATAGGCATACCCCACGAACAGACAGTAATGCGGGGAAGACCTGGGGAGGGGGCAGGAGCAGGGTGGAGACAGGGTCAGTGTTGGGGGGGAAGGGACTTCTGTAATACTTGCAACAATAAACATTTTTCTAAAACACCAAATATTAACACCTTATTTATGTTTTTTAAAAATACCTTATTTGTTTATAGTTTAAAGAATTTCTTGGAACCTACAATAAACTTACAGAAACCTGCTTTTTGGACTGTGTTAAAGACTTCACAACAAGAGAAGTAAAACCTGAAGAGGTATGAAAAGTGTACCCACTAAAAATTCTCTAAGCTTGTGATCAGCAACTTAAAAGCAATCCCCCTAAGCATTTTGCTTGTTCCTAGTTATTACAGGAATTTTTCCTGCCTTTATGCTCCATTGCTTGGAGGAACTAAAGCAGCCAAGGACCCATAACATTGAGTTTAGTGATGACAAATTTAATATGATAGTCACATTGAATCAAGGCAGACTTTTTTAGAGAAGATGCCTGGGGCTTGCTGAATTATTGTTCCATTGCAGTCTTAGTAATTAGCTTTCAATTAAGATGACCTAGCTAGAGAAACTTGACATGGCTTTTCTATCTGACCCTGAGAATTCAGGGTAACTTTGGAAAAACTAGAGCTCGAATTTGGTCGCTCATATTGCATAGATAGACTCTTAAAACCCAATCCTATTAGAAGTTATAACTTTTAATCTGCTCATCAAAACATTTATGTATTGGCTTAAAGTGACATAACTTCTTCCAGTGGAAGAATACTGAAAACATACATGCCAAGATCTTAACTTTTAACCAGCAATGAATAAGTACTTGTTAAATAAACGACAATGTTTAATAGATGCTAAGTGTAATATTTTTACTGGAAAAAAGTAAAAGGTTGAAAATTAACTTAATATTGAGAATGGAATTTCTCATTAAAAAGGAACAAGGTTGTACTGGGCCTACATTTTAATAATCAGAATAAGGGAATGGGAATGTGGGCTTTCAGTTAATACTAAAACACACCTGCAGAAAATCTAGTCCAGATAGCAGGGACTTACCATTGTTTTTAGTGCCTACAGACCTGTAGGTATCAAAATGTAATACCTCTTATATTAACAGTTGAAAGCTATGGTCACCTGCTACTTATTAATACCATTTAATTCTCAGATATATTCAAAGAAAAGTACCTACTGATTGGTCTTTTAGAATACATGCTTTTTTTTTTTCTTCAAATTAATATTTCTGTGTTGCCTCTTCCATCTTCTCTCTATTTTATTTCTAGACCACCTGTTCAGAACATTGCTTACAGAAATATTTAAAAATGACGCAAAGAATATCCATGAGATTTCAGGAATATCATATTCAGCAGAATGAAGCCCTGGCAGCCAAAGCAGGACTCCTTGGCCAGCCACGATAGAGACGTCCTGAGGGGTGGACTTTCCCTGAAAGGTTGCCAATAGCTTTGCACTGGAAGTGAGGATTCATCTGATAGAATCCCCTGAAAGCAGTAGCCACCATGTTAACCATCTGTCATGACTGGCAAATGGAAACCACTGGAGAAACGAAATTGCTATTTACCAGGGATAATCAAAATAGAAGGTCTTATTGTCCAATCAACATGTAAGATGCAACATTTGTTGAGGCCTTATGATTCAGGAGCTTAGTCACTTGATTAGAAAAATAAACCATTATTTCTTCAATAGTGACTATTAATTTTAAAGCAAAATCATGAATGAGATAGAAACAATTTTTATTTCTAAAAGTTAAATAAATGGAAATATCACTGCGCAGTTGTTTATATAATATCATAATATAGTATTCTGACTGGACTGTGGATACGTTGAAGTGTTTTTTCAATCAGGATCATCTTCCAAGTATTCTTCATTCATGTCTGCCTCAAATTGCTGGTAAATACATAAAATAGTTACTAATCATTTCAATGCACAATCCTTTTCTTGCCTCTCTTCTGTGTCAGGGAGGGCATTACACATTCTTATTCTAGCTACATTTCCATATATTTTTAGGAAACAACCCATCTGAGACTAGCTTGGGAATATTTGAGTTGACTGTTAGGCTCTAGCAGCGGTTCTCAACCTGTGGGTCGCAACCCCTGAAAATACATCCTGCATATCAGATATTTACGTTACGATTCGTAACAGTAGCAAAATTACAGTTATGAAATAGCAACAAAAATAATTTTATGGTTGGGGATCACCACAACATGAGGAACTGTATTAAAGGGTCGCGGCATTAGGAAGGTTGAGAACCACTGTGAGTCTAGTGGAATGTGTGTTTTTTTCAAAAGCTGAGAGTCTAACGCAAATGATTCTGAGTCAGACCAACAATACATAGTGTATTCTCAGCCATGATGTGATCAGTGTAATAAAAAGTGAACCAAAGTTAAAAGTAGTGTCTTATGGCTAAATGAGTCCTAAAATCCAAGCATTTTTAGGAAATTCTAGTTGATCCGTAAGCATATCAAGCAGTTTGGTAAATGTAAGTGGACTAATACCTATTAATAATTAGCCTCTGAAAGGATTTCATTTGCTATCAATCTCAAGTTATACTTTAGAAAACACTGATTAGCCTATATCAGGGGTCCTCAAACTACGGCCCGCAGGCCACATGCAAATACAAATATTGTATTTGTTCCCGTTTTTTTTTTTTTTTACTTCAAAATAAGATATGTGCAGTGTGCATAGGAATTTGTTCATAGTTTTTTTTTTAAACTATAGTCTGGCCCTCCCAACGGTCTGAGGGACAGTGAACTGGCCCCCTGTTTAAAAAGTTTGAGGACCCCTGGCCTATATGTTTAAACTTACCAACGTGATATCTATGTTTTGTCATACTAATGGAAAGTAGAAGTGTTCTGCTTTGATAATTTACTGTTTTCTATGTTACATCTAATTTTTAAGCCACCAGAACAGTGGTTCTCAACCTTGCCTGTACATTAGAATCACCTGGGAATCTTTTTAAAATCCTGATTTCTGGGCCTCATCCTCCGGAAATTCTGTTTCTTTGTTACTAATGTTGTGGCCCCACCCCATAGCAAAGAAACAGAATTTCCGGAGGATGAGGCCCAGAAATCAGGATTTTAAAAAGATTCCCAGGTGATTCTAATGTGCAGCCAAGGTTGAGAACCACTGCACTAGGACATTTAAATAACAATTACCATTTAACTTAAAGGCCTCCATGGACAGTACAGTAGGTCAAAAATTGTAGTATTTTTGAAAGTACAAAGACAAAATGTTAACAATGCTATCTTTAAAATTGAAATGCTGAAACAATTCTCAACAAAATATATAATACATTATAGTCAAAGGAACATGAAAGAATTGGCTTGTTTCACCTTAAGGCAAGAAAGGCAATAAAAAAATCAGATTTTACTCATTTAAAACTTTGGGCCATTCACACATCTACTTTGCTATTTCTATGTATCCAAGCCCAATTTGTTTATTCTGCCCATTTCACAAAGATAAATAAGTGCTCACCTGGCAAATCAGGGGAATTTTATGTAACAGCATCTCAAATACCTTGGGAGGGAGTGTGTGTTTAAAAACCTTCACAAGTTCCCGTGGTTGCCCACACATTGAAAGGGCATTGCTGAGATGTTCAACCCCCATTCTGTGCTCTCCTGAAACAAATTGATAAGTTCAGAGCAAAATTTTAATGTTCTTCAAAGTATACATTATACAAATTACCAAGAAAGCACCAAGTATTAAAACTTTAAAAGCATATCAAGATGAAGGCGGCCCTGGTCAGTGTGGCTCAGTTGCTTGTGTGTCATCCCATGCACCACAAGGTCAAAAGTTGATTCCCAGTCAGGGCACATGCCCAGTTTGCAGGATCGATCCCCAGTTGGGGGTGTGCTGGAGGCAGCCAATCAATGTTTTTCTTGATGTTTCTCTCCCCCTTTCTCTCTAAAATCAATAAAAACATTTTTAAAAAGATAAAGGCTATGCAAACAAGCCTCATAAAGGATATAAATGTGGGAGGAAATGTTGACCTGCCAGATTCACTGAGGTCAAGCTGAAATATGAATACCTGTAAGAGGTAGGTATTGAGTTTTTTTTAAAGGTTGTGTTCTGTTATCTTTACATGTATGGCTGATGAAATTGTAGATAAAACATGTTTTTCTGGCTAAATGATAATTTAAAAAAATCTCGGGAGCATTTTTAAAACAAGATTTAGTGTAACATGAATTACATATTCAGGGGAAGAAATTAAGAGCTTTAAGAACTTTCATTTCTAAGTAAAGTTTTAAATTGAGTTTAGGATGATTGGCTATAAAATAAGAATGAAAATTTGTGAAGAGTAGAAATTAATCAGACTTTAAGTTAAAACATGGAATCAGTGTCACTTCCTTGTTTTGGGGAACTGAGGCAAAGATCAGTGAAATGATTTAAGGTTTCAAAGCTAATTAATGCCAGAATTAGTAACAGAACCTAATTTTCCAAACCTTGAGACTACAGTATGCTGCCTCTCTTCTGGTGTTATGTAATAACTAGAGGCCCGGTGCACTCCGAGAGGGGGCGGTGGGGTGGCTCCCTCAGCCCGGCCTGCGCCCTCCCACAGTCTGGGAGCCCTCAGGGGATTTCTGACTGATGGCTTAGGCCCACTCCCCAGCAGTCAGACATCCTTAGCACTGCCTTGGAGACAGGAGAGGCTCCTGCCACCACCGCTGCACTGCCTGGCTTGTGGCAGAGCAGAGCTCCCCCTGTGGGAGCACACTGACCACCAGGGGGCAGCTCCTGCATTGAGCGTCTGCCCCCTGGTGATCAGTGGGCATCATAGCGACTGGTCATTCCACAGTTCAGTCAATTTGCATATTAGCTTTTATTATATAGGATACAAGTTGAAATTTTGACATTTAATATATAACTAGTTAGGAAATAAAATATAGTCTGTAGTTAAATATATTAGATTCTTATTAATGGAAATGAATTTTCCATTTCTTGGTTGAACTACATGGTTGTATGAAAAGTGCATAATGGACAGGAAAAAAATGCTCCCCAAAGATGTATATTAAGTTTAAAATATGCCCTGGCTGTGGCTCATTTGGGCATCATCCTGTGTAAGGGAAAGGTTGCTGGTTTGATTCCCAGTCAGGGCACTTGCCCAGGTTGCGGGCTCAATCCCTGGTAGGGGGCATGCAGAAGGCAGCCAATCGATGATCTGCTCTTACATCAGTGTTTCTCCCTCTCTAAAAAGTCAATAGAAATATTTTTAGGCACACATACACACACACCAAAATATATATATATATATGAGAAAGATATGACATAGACAAAGTAAGCCTTATCGATATGTAGATTTTAGGATTTAAGATTTTGTGTCTATAGACACCTAATTTTACATTTTCAACTTAAGAAATCCTCATTGCTGGGTTTTTTGTAACTTCTCTTAGGCATTTAAAGAAGCTATTTCTTGTTCCTGGCTGGGAAGCTCAGTTGGCCAGAGCATTGTCCCAATATACCAAGGTTGTGGGTTCAATCCCGGGTCAGGGTACATACAAGAATCAACCAATGAATACATAAATAAATGGAACAAAAAATGTGTTTTTTTTCTCTAAAATCAATAAATAAAAGAAGCTATTTCTTAAATGAAGTACTTTGCTGTACGGTTTATTTTAAATTAATACAATTACAGCTTTATGAAAATACTTTAAGTCTAAATGTTTTTAATGTATTGAGCTTTTTAAAGAAAAAGATACAATAGTGCCTGATCTTAAGTTGATGGAGCTAATGTGACACAAAAACAATATGATTAGTTAAGTCAACCACTAAATTCAATCAAATCATTGGTTCTATGGTCCCAGACAGACATAACCACAATTGAGATGGCTATAGAACTAGACTACCTGACAACAAAGTCATGAAAATTGGGGTTGGTACAGAGGGGAGTGGAAAAAATGGAAAAAGATTACAGAAAACTGGGTGAAAGGTTATCGCATTACAATACTGGTTCTCGGTGTTGGATTTATATTGTAATAACCAGGAGGTTTGCCCTAACCGGTTTGGCTCAGTGGATAGAGCGTCGGCCTGCAGACTGAAAGGTCCCAGATTCGATTCCGGTCAAGGGCATGTACCTTGGTTGCAGGCACATCCCCAGTAGGAGGTGTGCAGGAGGCAGCTGATCGATGTCTCTAACTCTCTATTTCTCTCCATAAAAAATCAATAAAATATATTTAAAAAAAATAATAACCAGGAGGTTTAACAAATACTGATGCTTGGGTACCACCCCCAGAGATTCTGATTTAATTGGCTTGGGGTTTGATGGATTTGAAGAATAAACAATCAAGATTGAGAACTGCTTTGAAAGTAAAATACAGTAAAAGTACGTAACCCTTAAAGAGCTAATTAACCAATTTAGGGGTTCACAGAATTAATGCTATTACCTTTGAGAGGGAAAAATTTAAATACACAAGTTTGCAATTACTGTTTTAATCAATTTAATATCTAACATTCATCTCAGTCTAAATTAATACATGATAGCTCTTAAACATAGTGAATAAAAATAAAATGTAAAAAATAATTGTTATTTTTTCTTTTGGCTTAATATTCAGAATTTTCCTCTCCATATTTATTTTATATTATCCCAATTGAAAAATGTTAAAGCTGAAAAGTTCTATTTTAATTGCCCCTTTATTGAGGGAGTATCCATATCTAGGGATTAATCCAGATTTTATGAAGCCCCTAGTTTATATAATTTGGGGGACCCTGTTTAAGAAAATAAAAAAAAATTTGCCCTGGCCAGTTTGCCTCAGTGGGTAGAGCATCAGCGGACCAAAGGGTCCCGGGTTTGATTCCAGGTTGTGGGCTCCTCCCCAGCTGGGGCCCTGGTTCAGAGCACGTGCAGGAGGCAACAAATTGATGTGTTTCTCTCACATCAATGTTTCTGTTTTTCCCTCTTCCACTCTAAAAATCAATGGAAAAATATCCTCGAGTGAGGATTAAAAAAGAAAATATAAAATTTGAATACAAAATTGGTAGGACCCTTCCCAGCACCTTCAAAGAGGCCCATGCAAATGAAGGTCCTTAAAACTTACACTTCATTACTTTGTATAAAATCACTCCTGCTTCTACCATTGTCAGTTCTAATTATTCATTCTGTCATTCATATTTAGTTCATTTGTTTAGTTCATTTATAAACCTATCTAAAAATTAGTACTGAATAAAATACTGAAATTTTAAACTATGATTAATGTGCAATGATTTTAAGTGGCCGCAATATTTTTTTAATTTCTCAAAACCTTTACCATGTTCTTACGCCACCGATTAAAGTTAAAATCTTTAGTATTGCTCTGAATTGTCCAGGATCTTGACTTCCTCTTTCTCTTTATAAATCCTAGAGGATGCTATCCTCATAAATACAGGTTGAAAACAAAATCTTTTCAAAAAAGACAAAAGAAGCAAAAACAGGTACAGGTACTGTGATATGGAGGGGAATTGGTAACACTTGAAAAAAATGACATATAAATGGGTGTAATGCTTGTTTATTGAGCATCATCATTTTTCCCTTAGATAAGGCTCAAAAATATTTTTCTTTCCAGGGTTCAACACCAGAGTAAAAACATGGTCATTATATATACAACTAGAGGCCCAGTGCATGGATTCGTGCACCAGTGGGGTGCCTCAGGCTGGCCTGCGCCCTCTCGCAATCTGGGACCCCTCGGGGATGTTGGACTGCCTGCTGCTCCTGCCTGCCGCCCCTGCTCATCCCAGCCCTGATGCGCCTGCTGCAGGCTCATGCCCAGTCAGTCCATGAGCCCTGCATCTGGCGCCCATTGGTCAGCTGAGCGGCACTCCCTCACTGTGGGAGTGCACTGACCACCAGGAGGCAGCTCCTGCATTGAGCACCTGCCTCCTGGTGGTCAGTGCTTGTCATAGCAACCAGTCAACTGTCAGGTCATTTGGTTGCTTAGGCCTTTATATATATAGATATTTTATACGATACTGATATTATCTACCATCATTTTACCTGACAATATTGTGTTTTCTCTCAAATCTGGAATTGGGTGGGGATAAATTATATTTCAAAAGATAGGTCATGGCTATTAAAAGCAAAGTATTCCCTCCAGGCATCACTACATTAGACAGGACAAGAATGGATATTCATAATGACTTTACCCTAAAAAATAAGTATTTTATAAGAAGGCAGGAAAATGTTTATAAAGCAGTTAAAAACTTTTTTAAGTTTTGGTTCACACAAGTAACCATTTGGAAAATTCATTTACTAAATTTTTACCTGATGATAGATGAGGTGTTCTAGCATTTGGCTTTGCTTCTCCATCGGCACTTCCAAGACTGCAACGTAACCTGGAACACTAACTATAACACATTGGAGCTGGCAAGTGGGATGGAGTGACAATGCTGGGACAGTTTCTCTTTAAACTGAAGCACATTGACTAACACATCTAGCTAGTTAAGTTACTTAACATACATATACTGATCAATAAATGAAAATAAATTATCATAAAGAACTGCTTACAAAAGAATGTTTATGCTCTTACCTCTAGATAGCCAAAGCTCTCCCATTCGTACTTCGTGCAGAAAAAGTTCTTGCAACTTTTCATTCCTTGCTGGATCCCACTGCTACGATTCACAAAATATTTAACAATGAGTAATGAATCTGAGGGATATGCTTACTAATCAAAATTATTTAGTTTTTATTTTAAAATGCACTTCTTAAACCTAGTTTCTAAATCCAAAGTATGACAAATGCAGTTATTCTTTATACTATTTAAACCAATTTCTTAAAATGGAATTACTATTTCAGGCCATAAAAAAAAAAAAATACATGAGAGGTTGGGTGGTGGGGGTAAAGGGGGAGGAAATGGGAGACATCCGTAATACTGTCAGCAATAAAATAAAATTTAAAAAAAGGGAAAAAATGCATGGCATATCCAAATTAGGCTGAGATGCTTGTAATAACTCATCCATATTTTACTTGGCTTACTAAGTACACATATCAGACATCTTACTATAATTAACTATAACAAAGATTACTTTGTATGTTGCAAAACTATTCCCTTGCCTGGGTATTAACATTGCTTGTTGATTGGGAAACACCTGGTGGGGAGTTGGCAGTGCCGGGTGTTGGAAGGTTGCTGTGGTTTGCTGCAGCCTGGTGTGTGAAGGTGACCAGGGTCACCGGAGGCCACATCATTGGAACCATGCCCAGGCTGGTCTTTAAAGGTAGAGTGAGCACCAGGCTGGCCTGGCTCAGAGGTTGAGCATCCACCTATGAACCAGGAGGTCACGGTTTGATTCCAGTCAAGGGCACATGCCTGGGCTGGGGACTCCATCCCCAGTAGGGGGCGTGCAGGAGGCAGCCGATCCATGATTCTCTCATCACTGATGTTTCTAGTCCCCCTCTCCCTTCCTCTCTGAAATTAACAAAAACATACTTTAAAGAAATTGTTTGAAGCACCTGTTCCTACAAAGTTTATTGTATAGCTGCCTTTTCATAACCCCAAATGGTTCTTCCTTCTTTTTCTTTTGTAAGCGACAATAAAAACTAAGCCTGAACTCCACGTGGGCTCGGATGTGCCAGCTCAGGAACCAGCCGAGACCCCGATCGGAGCCGGGCCCCGCACTGCGGGCAGGTTATCACTACGACGCCACCTGGGCGTCGCTAAAGCTCTTCACCTGGGCGCCGGGTCCATCAGCCTTTGGGGGCTGGGCTCTTCTTTCTGCAAAGACAACATGGCACGTGCTGAATGGAGTCACCCCGACGCCGGTGTGCGCCGCGCGGGCCCCTCCATA